GGCATCTGGCACTATTCAACCGGCACTAAAAGGGTCCCTCGACTGTAACGAGAATCTCGTTCCGAAAGTATCGGCTTTGGAGCAATCCGTGCAGCAGTTGCTGAACAACCAAGGTGGGGCGCGGGTTCGCACGTGGTCGGCCCGCATGCTGCTGATGGCGCGGGAGCCGCGGTGGCGGTCGGTGCGGGTCTTGGTGCAGCTGCTGCTCCTGGGTCGGACGCTGATCGCCAGCGTCGCTTCGCAAAAGCGGAATTCGAGAGTACTGCTTCCGCTTGGCGTGCGGGACGCTTGATGTGGGCGCTGCGTGGTAAGCGGGGAATCGACGTTCCCAAAAAAGAGACCCTGCAAACAATGATGGGGGGGACCGTTACCGGCACCGTCAAGACCTTGCAGCAGCTTCGGACCATGTCCGGACTGAACGTCCTCGACTTCTTTCCCGTTGGCAATTCCGGTGAGCTGTCAGTCCCGGACCACTTCGATTTGACCTGTGCTGCGATCGTTAACGTGTTGAAATTTGGTCTCTCTGCCACCTCCGCGGACAACGCTGCAGCTCTGGCGCGCTTGCTGCCCATGGAGCAGGCCATGCTTTCGGCGCGGGGTACGCTGCGCATGCAAGCCCTCCGTCATATGGGCGATTTTCAGGGGAGGGGGTCGCGGGGGACCTTCGCCGACCTCCCTAACGACGATTTTCGGGAATGGGCAAATGCGGTAATGTTGTGGATGTTACCGATGCAGAATTTGCCGGTGCCGCCGGAGTCTTTCGAGCGCTTTGGCCCCCCGCCGGTTCCTCGGTTCGATGGCATCAACGGCTTCTCCATGTCCGGGAGCATTGCGCTACGGATGTTCGGGACTGTGGGTGGTGGAGGTTCTTCTCGATCGAGTGGGAGTAAGCGACGGCGGGGGGACTCCCGCTCCGCGGTTGGGGACTCCAAACGCCGGTCGAAAGTGTGTTGCGAATATCGCGACTCCCAAACATGCAGGTGGGGCGACTCCTGCGTGTGCCGCCATGCGACTGGGGGCGGCAAGGGTGGCGGCGGCGGTGGGGGTCGCGCTTCGGGTGGAGGGGGAGCCTCGGGCGCCGCGACCGATGGCGGAAGCGGCTCCTCGGCGTTGGTCGTTCGCCGGGGAGATGGCAGCAACTGAGGACACGGGCTCTGCCTTTCGGCGGGGCCAACTCCACAGTCGTGTGGGAGCGTAGATCAGACAGCGAGGCCGGGTTCCCGAGCGCTTGGGGCCGCCGCGTTGGCGGCGGCGGGCGTGGGCGTTGATCGAGGGGCGTGTGTGCCCGGGGCTGTCTCTTCATTGCTACCAGGTGATGTCTCGTTTAGGTCGATTGCGGGTTCGCGTGAACTTTGCGTATGGCGATCTCGTGTGTCTGCTTTGGCAGCGGTGTGTTCACCCTCCGATATGGGTGTGGGTCTTAGTGAGGTGGCTTCCGCTGGTTCCGCCTTGCTTAGACAGTGTGGGGGGCGTATTGAAGTGCTCGTGGCGGCCGGTGGTGCCGGCTTCTTTGCGCCCCATGTCAATGTTGCGTCGGTTCGTGAATTTTTTGGGGTCTCGAAACGTTTTCCGCAAATTGACAACCTCCTCCGCGTGTTGTGTCCTGGCGCGCCGGTCGATGTCGCGCCGGGGGGGTGTCTAGACGCCGAATTAAAATACGGCAACCATTCCAGCATTTTACCATACACTCCGCAGATCATTGACAAGATCGTTTCGGATGTTACGTTAGGTCGTGCTCTCGTCTTCGACGTGCAGTTCATCCGTGAAATTTTGGGTGTGCGTGTTTCCCCCCTTGGGGTGGTGGACGATCCGAAATTCCGCATCATTCATGATCTCACATTCACAGCGGCTGGTGCGCAGTCTAGCGTCAATGCAGATACAGATTTTGATCGTGCCCCCGAGTGTCTGTTGGGACAAGTACTTTTCGATGTCTTGTCGCGCGTCCTCTTTTTGCGCCAATTGCACGGGCCGACTCTCGAGATTTTGCTCTGCCGTATTGACGTGCGTGAGGCTTTTCGCCAAGTGTTGGTCGACCCTTCGAGGGCGTCGGTATTCGGATACACGATGGGGGACGTGGTCGTCATCGACCTTCGTTGCCAGTTTGGTTGGCGTTCCAGCCCAGGTTTTTGGTCGCTGTTTGGTTCCGCTCTTGAGCATGCACACACCCACACTACTTTTCAGACAGCTTCTGTGTTACCTGCCGGAGTTGCGGCGGTTGATCATGTTCAGCTTGTTCCTCCCCAAAACCTCCCCGTATCGTTACCGAGTGATTGTGCCCAAATTTCTATGGAGGGCGGTTTCGCTGGTTCCGCGTTTTTCGTTCGGTATTATGTGGATGACGGTGTGCTTGTCGAGGCGCGGTTTTTCACGGATGGTCGTCGTTGCCTACGTGCAGTGCAGTCGATCGCGTCGGACCATTTCCGTCTGCTGGGACACCGGGGGCCAAACGATCCTCCGTTGTTGTCTGCAAAGAAAATCACCGATTTTTCGACGCGTTTGGAGGTGTTGGGATGGATTTTAGACACGCAAACTCTCACAGTGACCATGCCTCTGCGAAAACAACAGAAATTAAACCGCTTGTTGGGCGAGTGGCCGCGGTCGCGTCGGTGTGCGACTGCCCGTCACGTCGCGGAATTGACCGGTTTTCTTCTTCACGTGTCTTTTGCCTTGCGTCCGGGCAAATTTTTCGTCGGCTGTCTGCTGGCCGACGTCGGCATGCCGCAGTCCGAAGTGTTTCCTTCGCGTGTTTCTAACCCCAATCGGCGTGTCGTGTTGGGGCCCATGTTTCACGATGATTTGGATTTTTGGCGCTGGTTTGCGCAGCGAGGTCTGGCGTCGCGTGGCGGCCAGTTGTGTGCACCGATGTACAATGTGGTGCTTCGTCCTCCGGTAATGGCTGTGTTTGCCGATGCTTCCAAAACGGCGTTTGGAGCATACTGTGTGCAAACTGGGTGTTATTTCCGGCGTGATCTGACGTGTGACGAGCAGTCCCGCTTTGTGGGGTCTAGCAAGTCTGTATCCGAGTGTGCCGATGTCAGTATCAATGTTCTTGAGCTACTCGGCATGGTCGCGGCGGCATGGGTGTTGATTGTGCAACAGCGTCATGTGCCGGTGTCGGCTGGTGACTGTATCCAGTTGCGGGGAGACAATGAAGCGAGTGTGGCATGGATTGAGCGGTGTCGCGGAGGCAAGGAGCCGCGGTCAGGCGCGCTCATGCGGATGCTGGGGGCGATTGAAGTGTCTAGCGGGTGGCTTTTCCAATCGTCCCATGTGCCTGGTGTGCTCAATTCGCTTGCTGATGGTATTTCTCGCTGGCCCGCCGCTGATGTGTACGACAACCTTTGTGCCGCTGCCCCCCATATACGATGGCAGGAAGTGGAGTTGAATCGAGCCGGGCAAGAGATGTGCTCTGCCGTACTGGGGCCAGTCTCGTCCGCCAGTCACTTGCGCGAACGTCTGAACGAACTTACCTGGGCCTTTTTGGAGCCTGGGTGAAATATCGTGTGATCGTGGTGAACCGGCCGGTTTTTATTGCGGCCGAGGTTGTTACGCGTGATGTCGTTGCTCAATTGCTTGAGTACGTCGCGTATTGTTTTTCCGTTTTGGGTCTACAACAATCGACGATCGCCAGTCATTTGTCCGCTATTAAGTTCTTCCATCGTGTGTCGGGTGAAGGGGAGCTTGATACGCAGCATCCGCTGGTGCGTTGTGCTTTACGTGGGGCGGCGCGGGGGCATGCCGACGTGGGCACACAGCAGCGGTTGCGACGGCCGGTGTCTTGGGCGATGTTGCAACGGGGGAGTTCGCTGGTATCGCAATGGGGGGTAGGCGGGCGCGTTTTGTTTCTTGCGCTGAGTGCTTCTCTCTTCTTCCTGACGCGAGCATCCGAGATGTTTGCGGTGTCGAAATTGTCTATGCATGAGGTTCATGGATTGCGTCGGGGGGACGTAGCGTTTTTTCGGGGGTCGGTCCAGCTGTTGCAGTCGGCGCAGTGGCCATTGGCCGATCGCGTGGAGGTACGTTTTCGTTCGTCGAAAGGGGACCAGTTTCGGAAGGGGGCGGTTTGCACGCGCACACGGCAAGGTCCGTGCTGTGGGGTTGACCGAGGGGGTGGTGCAGTGGATGTCATGGTGGAGCTGCTTTCTCTGTATACCTTTTTGCCTTCGCATGCGCCTCTCGTGGCTTTCGGTGTTGGTCAGGGCCAGTGGGCCATGTGGACTAAGTGTCAAGCTACTGTGGCTCTTCGCCAAGTGGTTGCGTTGGCGGGTTTGCAGCCCGAGGAGTACGCGCTGCACTCCCTGAGAATTGGGGGCGCAACTTTCTTGGCGGCGGGGGGGGCTTCGCCGGAGGTTCTCCGAAGAGAAGGGCGTTGGTCGGGGGAGAGTAGTCACCAGTGTTACGTTCGGAATGTTGGGGGTGACGCTTCGTGGGTGTCAGAGGTGTTGGCGAACAAGGAGAAGGTGACTACACAGCCAGGGCAAGGTACCCGATGGGGTGACGTGTGAAGGGGTTCCGTGGCACGTTGTGTATGTCGAGATCCTTGTTGTACCGATGGTATTTTGCTGTACATATTGTATGCCGCATATATTGGACGTTGTACATATCGTATGTTTTGCATATATGGTATATGTTGTGCATGGTTTGCCAAAATAAAAGGGGGGGGGGGGGGGGATCAGTATGGCGCACCAGCCTTAGGTTTGGGGGCAGACAGAGTTTATATGTCTCTGTCTGTTGGGTGGCTGATGTTTATACTGATCGTAAGGAGTAGACCGGGGGCGTGTGTGGTGTTGCCCTGCCTGGTCTCCGCTCTTTTCCCCTCCCCCTTGGCGAGCAAAGGGGGTACGCAAAATAATAATGACAAATTTCGAAAGCATCGAGAAAAGCGAAAGATTGTCTGACGAAGTAAAGGAAATCTGCGTTTTGTGAGAAGCGGCAGAAATAAACCTTGGCCAATCAGAAAGCAGGAAGCGGACGAGCGTGTTGGTGTTCTGTTTTCAGTCTACTCGCTTCGCCGTGTTTACCGGGGGCGAGCGAGAGCACGTGTGCGTGTGGTGGCCAAGGGTTGTTTTCTGCCGTGACGTTTCTTTTTCCCACCCACCCACCCTTGCTTTTGGGGGTGTCAGTGGACATGGAAATAGGAGCAGCGGCGTTGTGTTCAGGGTGAGTGCCCGTCGGGGGGGACTCACTGTGTAGCCGCAGCCGGGGTTGCGTGTGCCTGTGCTGGGCGCAGTTCCGAGGTGCTCGTCCCATTTATTTTGAGTGGGATTGGTGTACATCGCACTTCAGGTGGTATATGCAGGACGCATGTTGTTGGGTGTATCGGACCGTTGCATGGTTGGGGGAGTGCACTCCTGGCTGCTGTGTGTGGCTATGATGGTGCTGCGCGCTTCCCCGTTANGGAAATAGGAGCAGCGGCGTTGTGTTCAGGGTGAGTGCCCGTCGGGGGGGACTCACTGTGTAGCCGCAGTCGGGGTTGCGTGTGCCTATGTTGGGCGCAGTTCCGAGGTGCTCGTCCCATATATTTTTGAGTGGGATTGGTGTACATCGCATTTCAGGGTGTATATGCAGGACGCATGTTGTTGGGTGTATCGGACCGTTGCATGGTTGGGGGAGTGCACTCCTGGCTGCTGTGTGTGGCTATGTTGGTGCTGCGCGCTTCCCCGTTACGTGCGTGACGAGTCTGATTGATTGGTGGATACGCATACATATTAAATAGCTTATATGTGGGTGTCCTGGTGTCCGGGTACATGCGTGTTTTTCTGCAGTGCGATGGGAAGGTCAGGGGAACAGAGAGTAATTAAGGAGAAATAAATACACGTACAGAAAGACTACCCATTCGAGATATACCCACAGTCGAACGGGATGTGGTGGAGTCTTTTCAGTAAGTGGAGGAAAACCGGCTGGGTACTGGACTTATTCCGAGTCTTTACAAGTCTATACACTGATAGAGAGTAGCGAGAGACGAGAAATGTTTTTTTTTTCGTTGGTGGCCCGGGTGTTTCGCCAAATGGCATTCTAATGTTGATGGACCTAGTGGGGTTCTCTCGTGGTTTCAGTATGAACAAGCCGGTGTGGTACTATCAGCGGTTGTGGGGGGCAGACAGAGTTTATATGTCTCTGTCTGTTGGGTGGCTGATGTTTATACTGATCGTAAGGAGTAGACCGGGGGCGTGTGTGGTGTTGCCCTGCCTGGTCTCCGCTCTTTTCCCCTCCCCCTTGGCGAGCAAAGGGGGTACGCAAAAATAATAATGACAAATTTCGAATGCATCGAGAAAAGTCATAGTCTTTGTGTTGTTTTGAGTTATTTAAAACTCGAAAATTAACCTTAATTTGCTGGAGAACCAAAATTTTAGCTGAATTCCAGTTTTAAATCACAGGGGAAGGTAACCCAAATTAACCTTCATTTCTGGAAAAATGTAGCTTCAGGGCTCCAGAGCTCCGAAGCTACATTTCTGTTCCGGAAAACAGCCCCGGTGTTGGTTCCTCCAACATACCCGATCGATCACGCGTGTTGGCCCCCCCACGCGGCACTGGAGCCCGTATCTTATCGGGACTTGATCGGGCTGCCGCACGTTCAGCGGACAGCCGGTGAGGGTGTTGTGCGTCTGCATACCATGGCGTACTGTTACGAGAATCTTCGTATGCAGATGGACGCCACCAATCACCCGATGACAGGAGAAACACAACAACAGCAGCACCCGCCCCAAGAAACCCAACGAAGCGAGGTACAGCAGGGTGAGCGCCTTCGCTGCGAGGCGCGGCAGTCGCCATCGGTGGAACAGCAGCTTGGGCGTCCCGTGGCAGATGCGGTCGCAGAGAGGTTGCAGCATCAGCAGAGAGAGAGGCGAGAGGAGNGATGCTACCGTCGACGCCACCCCCTTCGCTGTTGCGCTCAGCAACCCCAGCAGGAGGAGGCTGGGAAGACCTCGATTCATCCGTGTGCAGCAGTGGTGCTGGTTGTGCCGTTGGTGGTAGCGAGTTCTTGACAGTCTCGCGTTTTACCACCCTCCCGAGATTTAAATCACCCGGGCATTACACCCAAATTTACCTTCCCCTGTTTCTGAACCAAAAAGTGGAGCGGACCTTCATTTCGAGTTTTAAATAACTCATTTGTTGTTGTCACGAGGGGCTCCGCCCATACAAAAAGTAATAGTACCACAACAATATCTGCGTGCCCCCCGAACTGTTCATGAACCACGCTGCCCCCACACTCCACATGTCCGAGGGATATGGGGGCTGTAAAATGGCTTCTAGTGGCGGTCACCACGTCTGCCGGTAGGCGTCGTGTCTCTGCAGGCCCTCCCGCGGAGGCATTCGTGAACCACCGTCTCCTATCAAGCACCCCTCTCAGAGTGAAACCGCGTCTCGGGTGCCGCCTCCTGTGTTCTTCAACAACCCCCGCAGCAAGCATCCGCCGCAGCCTGACTGCTGTAATGGCGACGGCAGGGGCTGGCGAATCGTGGTGTGGGCATGAGCTACTGAACACCGTCACGACAGCATGGGTTGAGGACCACTTGGGTGACCCAGAGTTAAGTTTTCTGCTTTGGATTTCGCGCCGTCGTGACTCACCGCTGTCACGGGACTGTCAGGTTTTACATCTTTCCGGAGCGTCCAATGTCCAATGCCATCACCTCTCTCTGCACTACGCGAGTACTGCTGTAGCAAAGCGACATCTTGCTTATGAGAAGGGCTGTGGTGATCGTGGCTACCCCTCCCCCCCCGCATCATGCGGTGCTTTTTTTGTTGTCCCGACTGGTGGGTCAGAAGAAATCGTACCGAACGGTTCAGACCTCTTGGTAGAACAAACAAGTCGGTGACAACAAAAACAAACACGCCGCCGGAGCTCACGTGGTAAGCCGCAGGCTACTGCGGCTTCTGTGACACTGAAACTATTGCAGGCCCGTGAGGATCGAACACGGTGTTCAATCCTTATCGTAGTGTGCATAGCTTCAAGCACGCGCTGTCGCTCTCGGACCACGAACAAAGCGAATCGGGCACCGTACAACAGGGATGCTTTCATCACGAGGCGGTGCGGCAGTTTTGAATCTACAGTAGATTCATCCACGGACCAACCATACGTGTAAAGTCAGCGTATAAGCGACTCCAACAGTGCTCCGCAGAACACGCACGGTGGCTGCGCAGCCGTATGAATACCAGCTGCTGTTCCACACAAAGCACACATACACCCACCCCCAGCCACAGGTTCATGTCCGCAGCACCCACCACAGACACGTTGTCACCCCGCCACTTCGCTCTGGCGCCCCGCCCCGTGCTTGGCCCCGATGCTGCTGCTTCCGCCGCCGCAGGTTGCGCTGGTGGATATCCGCGGCCAGGTCGTCAAGCACCGAGACGAGGGGTCGGACTTCTTCAGCACGCGCTACGAGGGAATGGAGGCGGACTACCTCGACGCCCACATTCCCGGAGCCGTTTTCGTAGACTGGACCAAGGTGAACCACGTTGTTAATGTTAAGTGCCGCCGGCATTTGTCATCCGGCGGTCAGTATCGCGCTCGCCCATCCTCACCGCCTGCCGTCCGCCTGGTGTTCGCCGGGTAGGTATCAACGAACGGAGTTGGCCTGTTTTTTTTGTGCATGCATGGGGAGAGGGCGAAAAGACGGTATGTGGTAGTCGTCGATCGAAATGGGCACCGTTGTCATGATACACTTCGAGGTGTCCCAACATTCTTTCTTTTCTGGACCTCCCCTCTGGTATTTCCAGAACGCCAAGCTACATAGGGAAGCAACGTTTTCGCCTCTGCGTTGCTGCAGTGCGTGCTGATGGTGAGCAGTACGTGGGCCCATGCCTTCACGGCTTCCCGAGTACGCTGCTCTCCGAATATGATTGCAAGCACAGGCCAGTCAGAAGGCGAAAGCACCCGCCGCCAACACACAAGCACGTTCTATTAGGGATAAGATCGCAGCATGCCGCGTACAACATGAGGACGTAGGAATACCAATGGGATGGAGAATCCAACGCAGAGGTCCGCTGAACAGCGTGGGTGACGAAATCCACGGTGGTGCGCCCGTGGCAAGCGAACGCTCTTTGCTGCCGCGTTTTTTTCCTTTCCCCAACCCGAGTGCCCTAGACTATCTGTCGTTGATTCCTATTGACTTGCGAATCCTTCCGGTCCGTTTTATTTTCGTAAACCTCTTTTGAGTAAGATAGGCTGTGACCACGGGAACCGACCGCGTCAAGTGTTACACTAGTACGGACAGAAGAAGGTACTGGGCAGAGAGAACGGGACGGTTATTGATGTGAAGACAACAACAACAACAACAACAACAGCCACCAGCCCCCATGCTACTACTACACACGGTCACCCGGGTTTTTCGTGGATTGTTCCGTGCAACGCTTTCGGCAGGACATAGCCCACACGGACGAAAACGGCGTGCCCGCGCAGCTCACGGACCGGGAGAGTTTCGTGATCGCCATGCAAGAGAGGGGGGTGGGAGCGGACAAGCGCGTGGTCGTGTACGACAACGGAGACATGCTCTTCGCCACCAGATTTTGGTGGGCCATGCGGTGAGAGGGGACCTGCTGGGAAGACCGATATCGAGCCGGGGGGTTAACGATGTTCGTGCAGGCGTTTGTGCACGGGGGTGGGTAGATGCGCCACGCCTCTTGGTCCGAACGGTAGTGTCTTGCATGCAGCAGGTTTTGGCCTGGTCTGTGGNGGGGGGGGGGGGGGGATGGACTCGTTGCCGTGCATGCCGTAGTCGTTGGACCATTCTGGAGAGGGGGAAGGTAGAATATGAACCACATTCGTGAAAATGGAGTCGACGCAAGTGGATGGTGAAGACGGGAGTATCGTCATCGGAGGATGAAGGCTGCAAGTTTGGCGAACGTTTCATTCATCCGTGGACAAAAGTTGTGTCCAGAGAGTGCCCTGTGAGCCACGCAGAGTGACGAAGAAAGTCGAACCTGCGCTCGAACAGCAGTGTGACCTGGCAGATACCCATGGTGCCGAGTGGGTCGGACTTGAACCCCCTCTTCGTACAATCAGTTTCGGTTGTCGCCTCGGTCAAATTCTATTTTTTTTTCTCTCTCAATTTTTTTTTTTTGTTTATATACCCCATGGCCAAGGGGTCCTTTGTCATGGGGGGTTTAAGCAGCCAAGGAGGCAACGTTGATTTCTACCGTCTGGTAGGAAGAGCTCCCATGCAAGAGGGGGGTGCCGGAAACAGAGAGGGACCAGAATAAACGAACAAGTTTCCGACACTAGCAAGTAGGGAGCACCGCCTACCCCGCCACCAGCACTCGCAAAACTATGCTGTCTAGCACACACGAACCATTCTTCTCCCCCCCCCCCCCCCCCCCCCCCCCCCCCCCCCCCCCCCCCCCNCCCCGATACTACGCGCCCCGTTCCCTTGGTGCACGCTTGCGCACACACGATGCCTGGCCTCATCTGACGCGAGACCCACAACGCCATTTCTCACGCGTGCACATCTGTTTTTGATCTGTACATCGATTTTCGCCGCGGGCGGTCGTTGCGACCGTCGACACTACGCATATGGGTTGCTCCTCGAGTACAAATTCTTCTTCCGCAAAATTCTGTATGACTCGCCCGACACTCTCGCCCACTTGTGTACGCCCTTTTCGTGTGTCGCACCCGCCCGCGCGGTGTTTTTTTCGTTGCTTCGTAGACGATTTGGGCACGATAGAGTGGCGGTGATGGATGGGGGTTGGGCCAAGTGGCAGGCGGAAGAGAGAGACATCACTCCTGACTGCCCGTGTCCCCTAAAGGTAGGCGGAAATGCTCGTAGGTTTGTTATTTTGTTTAGTAGTGGGGGGAAGGTGCACCGTTAGGTCGTGGCCTTGGGTGTTGTCGGTTGTGGATAGATGTGGTTGCTGCTGTTCGGTTGGCGATGCTATGGGTATCGTTGCAAAAAAAATCAGGCTAGGTTCACTTGCGCTTGTTTCACACAAGATTGTTTTCGTTTTATCTTCGTCTCACTGCTGTCGTTCCACAGGTGTCATTCTTTTTTTGTATATGTCCCCTTTCGATATTATGGGTGCTCCGGCACATCTTGCTCTCTTGCGGCAGCGGATCTTTCACACGCTTCGTTATGAGAGGCACACAGCGGGGTCTTCGGTACACACTGCAGTATGGCGCGTGCCCGAGTACCTTCAGGCATCCTGGGCATGATGCTCAAAGTCTCCGCGATTGGTTCAATTTCGCGGGGAACCATTCCGAACCGCAAAAACCTGGTTACGACACGCTTGACTCCGGCAAACACACGAACACCATGAGCAACACGGTGCAGGCATCAGAGAGACCGTATCAGCAGCGGGTTACAGCTTATAGCAGTGCAGGGTGTACGGCTAAAAATCCGCTGGCCTCACTCACGCACCAAGACGCTACATTGACATTCATGAGGCTTTTGCCCGCACATGCCATGTGTAGCATCATCGAAGGTCGCGAGTTGAGATACATCTAGCACATGATAACAGTGACAATGTCCACTTTCGTCGCCCACGGGAGGCACTGTGATGCTGCGGTGATGACTTCGCTTTGATGTCACGCGTGATTGATATCTGCTGTTCCGTGTTCACTGCCGTCGGATTTTCTCCCATTTAGTCTTGTGTCTCGGTGAGGACGGTCACTGCCGTCGGCTCACATCCCCTAATACTCCAATCCCGATTCACTTCTTACTCCCGCTTCACTCTGATTGATCTGTTCTGTTCCTGCTTCCCCTCACATCAAGACTGTCTCTGTTGGTTGAAGCTCCCCGCGCTTGGTCGATCACGCCAGGTCTTCCGTGTTGTTCGGTCTGTTCTGTGTTGATGCGTGTCCGAGGTATAAATCCAAAACGCGAGACATTTCTTTTGAAACTTTGTTTTCTGCGTGCTTCGGTATAAATCCAAAACGCGAGACATTTCTTTGAAAATTTATGTTCGGCGCGCTTCGGTATTAATCCAAAACGCGAGACATTTCTTTGAAACTTTCTTTTTTTGCGTGCTTCGGTATTAATCCAAAACGCGAGACATTTCTTGGAAGCTTTGTCTCCTGCGTGCTTTTGGTTGGTTTGCACAGGTCTACACGGAATGGGGCATTCCCCCGGAGCGCGAGAGGCCAGGATTGATTACCACGTCGGCCGACATCCGAGCCGCCCTTGCAAGGAGGGAAAAAGCGGGGGGCGGCAGCGACCACCAGGCCGACGCCGCTGTGCAGCTCCTGGATGCCCGGGCTGCGGCGCAATACACTGGTGAACTGATTGTCGGTCGGGGGTCTGATCTTGGCGACGTGCTGGTTGTATTCTTGGTGTGCATTCGTTTGTGTATTCGGGCGCTTCTTCCAGCACCCACAAAGGTTGCGTGCTTCCAGCAGAAACAAAGGTTGCGTGATGATTGAATTCCAGATCCTTTCCGAAGCAAGCTGTCCGCGGTCGTTTTTGGTGCGATGGAGGTCGTGTTGGTAAGAAAAATGAACCGCGCAACAACGCTCCAGTGTCGTCACTTTTCCATGGTATTGTCGGTTTATCCTTGCTGGCACATGTGGTATCCCGTCGCCGCACACGGCACGGTCGAAGAAAATTATCTGAGGTGTTCGCTTTTAGTGGAGGCGGAGGCTTTCCATGTGACCTCGTTAGGCTTTTAGCCTTTCGCACCCAGGGCCTGGGGCGCATACGTACAAGCACGCATTTCGTTGGTTAAGAATAATGTTGTTTCGGTTTCCCCCGTGGGTTGAATCTGCCGGAACTTGGTTGAATCGTCAGGTTTCAGGGTTTTGCTTCTCTCAGGCTGTGACACGACACCACTGTTGCTTATCACTCGTGCCTTGTTGTACACCGGACCCTTGTTATCTTCTCCACCCGTACCTGTGCGTCCGTGCACATGCTTAGTTAGGCGTGTGAATTTCATTCATTCCTTCTTTTTGCGTTACGGCTCAGTCCTGTGTGACATGTATGCCCTTGATGCTAAAAACAACGGGACAGGCGAGGTCAGACGCGCACGGCTAGGCGGGCACATCCCGGGAGCCGTGAACACTCCCTATCGCTCCTTCTTGGCCGAGGGGACCGGTCCTGACGGAAGTTTCAGGGTCTTCAAGGACCTCGAGGGCATCACCGAGGTACAGTACGCGGCGTTTGTGGTTATGGACAGTGGACATTCGTGCGTATTTTTTGAGGATGGGATTTGTGTACGTATCCCGTTCCCCGGATCAGAATCGTCACCGAAAGATGGATGTTTCTTCCTTGTGTGTTTTTTGGTCCCTTGCTTCATGTCGGGCGGCGTGCCTTTTGTGGTGCTTGTATTCCCAATCCCGCTCAGGACTTCACGCCGCTGTAGCCACGCATTCAGCCACGGTTGTTGGAGATCGGCGTGGGTGGATGGATACGCCTTGTTGGCATATACCCACGCACTGCTTCTACAAAAACTTTTCGGTCTCTTTTTTCCGTTGTACTTCTCCCGCTCTCGCGGGTTATCTTTTCGCCGAACTTTTAGGTTTTCGAGTCTGCCGCCGTGGACACCTCCCCGTCCGCCGCCCCCATCATCGCCTACTGCAATGGTGGCGTGGCCAGTACCGTCGTTCTGTTTCTCCTGTTCCAGCTGCGGGAGCTGCGGGGCGATGGTGCAGCAACAGCTAGTAGCGGTAGTGATTCAGACGGTTTCGGGAGAGGCTGGTGGTCAAATTACGACGGGAGCTGGAACGAGTGGGGGAACGACGAGTTGGCGCCGGTGGAAAGACCGTGAGGGGACTCTCGGTTATATGTTTGGTCGTGTCAGAGCTGTCTTTGTAGATAGAGATGCCCTCCACTCCGAAGAGACGAAAGGCATGTATTTATGTTGGAACATCCACATCTTGATTGGTTTGGTCATTGGTGTCGTCGTCGTCGTTGTAGTCGTCGGTGTTGTTTTCGTTGTCAAGATAAGCGCTTGTCGTCGAAGACGAATATTCCTGCTGTGTCCTACCGCTGTTGCCGTCTAACCGAAAACGCAACGAGGGGCTTCCACGTATCTTGGGTGGCGTACGATATACAGTACCATCTAGGATGGTGGTTGTGGCAAGAGGCAAGGTCTTTTCATGTGTTAATGTTGACCCTTCCGTACTCTTGTCTGTAGACTATATGTTGACCGTATTTGTTGGCAATACCAAGCACAAGCAGCTTGCACCCGACTACCTGCTCGGCTAAAACATCTCTCCCGAAGTCTCGTGAACACCAAGCCTCTTGGCAGGTGCGACCGTTGTTGGTTACGATTTCGAGCTCACGTGCTACATCCACGTACACGGCAGACCGGCAGCCCTTCTCGCGATGAGATTTCCTGGTCCACGCGCGAAATCTATTGAAGTCAGATCAGCCCGCGTCCGCGGCTTCTGGGTCATCACGCACTTCTACTCGTTGCCTTCTCTCTTTCTCTCTCTCTCTCTCTCTCTCTCTCTCTCTC